GGATTTGGTCTGTTATTTTTTTTATTTCTGGAAAATGCGATTCAGCCTGAATTCTGCAGTCCATTAATTGTTTTTTGTAACTCAGTGATTCTCAACCCTGGCGAAGCATTAGGATGCCCTGAAGAACTTTAGGAAATACTAAAAGCTAAATGACTTGTCCCCAAATTAAATTGGATGAGCTAGGGTTGGGGCTTGGCATCCACATTCTCAAAAAGCATTGCAGGCAAGTGGACTATGCAGTGAGGGGTCGAAAACTAGTGAGACAGAGGATGGAGAGACGTTGGAGGAGGGATTTTCGCTACTACGAGGACCCCTGGTCATACAATTAGTATTGTTAGCAGTGCAATGAGTATTGCCAACAAACATACTAGGCGCTTACTGTGTGCGGGGAGTGTTCTAGGCATTTTTTTATAGAATGAAATTACCTTTGCATACTCCTTATAATAACTTAGGAGCTTGTTTCACTTTTACAGATGTGTATATGGAAGACTTTGAGGAGACAAAGCATTTTATTCAGAGCTGAATGATGCTTCTTGGGGATATTCTCTATTAAACAGTGAGACGAAACCTTTTTGCGTAGGTATACATTGTATCTGGTTGTTCACGTCATTTCCCTTATCATGGGAGACTTGGATGGCTCTTGTATGGTCAACGTGCCTTGGCTCTGCCACCGGAGACTGGCTATGAGATAGTAATCGGTTGAGAAGCTTCGGATTCCAGGTCACATCTCCTGGCCTCCTGATTTTTCGTACTAACGTCACACAAGTGTCCTGAAATGCATCTTTACTGCAAATAACTTGTATGATAGCAGAGATAGGTAGACTTTACTAGCATACTGCCCTGCAAAGACCCCAGTCATACACTTACTCTGTAGTAAGTATGCAGACTGTAACTCCCATGTACTTGGATTTAACACCTCTGCACCTTTGCACGCGATCTCTCATGTTATATTTGCCACTTCCTGGGGAGGTGTCCAATATGAAGGGCTAGATGGCTAGGGTGAGATTGAGGACATGGTATAATTTCGCTGGTTGCAAAGTCTGAGATCACTTGCTTTCTAGTCAGGGCATTTTAAAAACCATTAAACCATGAGTGTTTTGTTGGTGTTGGTTTTGATGTATAGTTCTCTAGGTTTTAATCCGTGTACAGAGCTACGTAAGCATGACCTCCATCAGGCTATAGACCAGCCACATGGAGTTAGAATGCCTGGAGTGTTGCTGCAAATAGTCCCTACCGTGTCCTCTCCGTACCTCAGCAGCCTGGACAAGCTTGACTTTCTGTAAGAGTTTTAGCTCGATGCCAGCCTGAGCTAGCAATTTCTTGGCAGTTTGGAGACAGGCCTTTCTGAAAAATTTGACCGGTGATAGGAGTGGAAACATGTGGGGTGTGCCTTTCCTTTTTTTCTACATTGACTGAGTATCGTAACCCTCGATCCTCAAAGAAAAGACTTAAGACAGGAGGCTGGAGTCCAAGATGTAAAGATGTGAGTTGCTTTCTGGAAAGAAATGAGATGATATGCCCTTATAGGCCTCCATAAATAAGAGATACTGCCTCATAGGGTGCTGCAGCCTGGGGTCAGAAACTGGGGGTTCCCAGGGCAGGTGGAAGTGGGTGGCAAGGGAGCCCTTGTCCTCTCTCCTGGCTCTAGATCATTCATCAGCCCTCCTCTGCCTTTTCCTTCTGAATTTGCAGCTTGAGCTCTAAGCCCAAAGGCCTGGAGGGCTTTAGTCTGATTTCCTTCCCCACCTGGCACCCTCTACTGAGTCCCCCACGAGGCAGAGTGACCAGAAGTTCCTCCGGTGCCCGGGAGCCCATTCAGAGAGGCTTACTTTGATAACAGGGCTCCTCCTTTGATCTCCACAGCCAATAAGTTACCAACATCAGGTTTGAAGATTCTGACAGTTTTGTTTACTTTGTGCTATGAAAGCATAAGATCATAGGATGGAAAGTTCTACCTATATATCTGATAAAAAATATGGCTATGCCCTAGGAGAATAAAAACTTGCTGTCTCCAAGTAAGGAAATGTGTGTAGCTTTTCTTTGCCCTTCCTGTACCTCTGCTACAAGCCCAAACATTTACAGCCTCTGTGTTCTAATAAACCTACCAACAATGGGCACTCAGGGATCTGCTGATGGAGAGAACAACAGGGTCCGGGGCACGCATGTCAACACTGGTCAGCCCCGTTCCTTCCTCTGTGCAGAAGGAAAGAAGTGAAGTCTTCTATAAGGGAGCCAGGGAGAAGGGGAGACAGGAAGGAAGAATGGGAGAAGGAAGAAAGGAAGGATATCTGAGCTAAGTCTCAATGATGGTGGTGGGGAAGAGTTTTTCTGGCAGAGGAAAGAACTGGCTGTAAAGGTCCCTAGCTGCCGACAGGTTGGTGTGTTTTGGGGCAGAGTTCTAGAAGGCTGTTGTGGCTGGCGGTGGGTGTGGCTGGAGGGCAGGGCCTGGCTCCTGTTGAAGTATAGACCATGGTAAAGAGTGGATTATTTCATTCTTAGAGAAAATAGGTTTTAAGCAGAGGGTTAACATGGCCTGGTGATAAGGTTAGAAGAGCCCTCTGGTTGCCATCTGGGTAGAGGAGAAAATTTGTAAGCAGTGAAAAGATGTAAGAGTTCTCCCAAATGGCCCAGAGGGGAAGTGATCAAAACATTACATTGAGTCATGTCTCGAAGGCTGAGCCAATGGGACTGGTGAGTGGGTTGGTACAGATTGGGTAAGGGGTAGAGATGGATCAAGGATGACTCTTGGGCTTTGGAGCCCAAGGGGAAGGATGTGTTGTATAACCAGATACAGAAGATAGGGAGGCAGCACCCTCCCCCCCCCCCCCCCCCCCCGGTGAAATTGCAACAAATAAAAGAGTTCTGTTTGGACTGGCAAAGTGCGAGGTGCCTATAGATGTCTAAGCCCGGGTGCTAAGGAGTGAGTCAAGGGGTAGCCGAGTCCGGGGTTTGAGGGAACAGTTGGCATTCAAGTCATCCATTTGTAGGAACTTTGTTTCTTTTGGAAACTTCTCCTGTTTCAAAACCATTAGTTGTTTGAGCTATCTTTGAACCCTGAGCTTGGTACCTGGACGACATGCAGACGTTTGTTGGGATTTCTCACATCCGTCCTGGGAAGACACATTCACATGAGGAGGTGACGAGAAGCTTCTGCAGCTATACCGACTGCATTATGTTGGAATAGCTCTGAATATTTCTCTAGACTTAGGCAGTCATTTTTCTGAATTCTTTCAAGCAGATCCTCTTTATTAAGTCAGATAGAGATCTCACTTCCTAGTTCTGTGTGTTCCCCGTGGAATGCAGCACAATAATTAAGATCAAACAAATCATTAATCATACTCACATTTCAAAGATTCCTGAAAATAACCCAACATGAACACGCCAGGTGTTTGTGCTTGCACGTCTTGTACATGAAAATCGGGCCCCGTTGTCCTTTTACTATGTACAACTAGCCAGTTAGAGTACAGTCACTGTGGACATCAAGTGGGTGACAGATCGAAAGACTACAGAGCAAAAGGGACAGCTGATACCCCAGTATGGAAGAAGGAAAAAAACCCTATAGCCCTAAACCCACTTATTTGCTATTTTTGGATAAGTTTTCCCATTTGAACTGTCTCTGTCTTAAGTTCTACTTCTCCTTTTTTTTTAAAATGTATTTATTCATTCATTCATTCATTCTCTACACCCAATGTGGGGCTTGATCTCTTGACCCCGAGATCAAGAGTCACATGCCCTTCTGACTGAGCCGGCCAGGCGCCCCTTACTTCTTTTTATTCCAATTTCCTAAGTCACTTTTGCATTCTTCTAAAAAAAAATCAGCTCTCATCTACTCCAACTGGGACACTTACTTTTTCCTTAAGCTACTGTTCTCTCTAGATATCCTTGTGTATCCAATATTTTTTTAAATTTTGTTGTGTTAGAAAGGCTGACTGTCTTCACTTTTTGTGAAGGTGATTTCCCCTGACTGACAAGCATTATCTCCTTGGAGGGGAGCCTTTGAATACACTGAGCGCATCATAGGCTACCCTACGGGCTCAGATGTATTGCTGGGTTGGTGTCTGGGTTACACGGTCAGTGCCCAGAGTATGTTGCTGGTGCTTGGGCTCTGCAAAAGCTGGTAGGTAGGTTTTTCAGACAGATGAGCAACAGATCCCCAAGCACCCTCTGGAAGAAACGATCTTCTGTCTTTCCTGCAGTGTCACAGGGTGTGACCCTGAGCAAATCTCTGGATTTCTCTGGGCTTCTGTTCCCTCCTCTGTAAGTGGGAATCAGTATAACCCACCTCCGAAATTTGAATTAAGTGAATAGGTGGGAAGCACTTAGCAGGTACCTGCTGCATAAAGGGAACTCTGGGACCTTTAGTTCCCACCCTAACCAGTCTGAATCTATATTCATCAGGAAACGATAATCATGTACTCTGAAAAGTGGCTGTTCGTCAAGACAGATCAAGCTTCTGAAGCAAGCTAGACTGAAAAGATGAAGGGAAATTGACCATCAAGACGAAGTAGAGAAACAGTGCAGTGGTTCTCAAAGTATGGTTCCAGGACCTGCAGCGTCAGCATCACTTGGGAGCTTGTGCAATGCAGATTCTCAGAGTCACTGAATTGGAACCTCTGGGAGGGGACCCAGGCAATCTGTGTTTTAATAAGCTCTACAGACAGTTCTGATGCACACTGAGGTTTGAGAACCACTGGTCTAAAGCAAACTCAACAGATACGGGGTGAGGAATTGTGCTGCGTGTTTCTGTGTGTGTGTGTGTGTGTGTGTGTGTGTGTGCGCACCAACGTATGTACAACGTTTGTAACTGCTGAAAGTGTAATTGAGCATGGTCATGTCAACAAAATCCCACCAAACGGGCAACTAATGACCTATTTTTCTTTGGTAGAGTTGTCTAAATAGACATATATCTGGAATGTTTGTTTTCAATGACTGTGCACTAAATTCGCTTTGGTTTTAAAACTACTGATGCATCAACTTTCTTCTTTTTTTTTTTCCCCTAGGAAATTCCACTTACTTGGATGATCATGGGCCACCTCCTAGTAAGGTAAGGTCTTTGCTTATGGTTATACATCCCATTTCTCTTTTCTCAGTTCCTACAGCCTCCAACAACCCTAACCAGAGCCCTCCTGGCCATGAATTGTTTGCAAGAAAATAGTAGATGACAGATGTGAAGTTAATCTTTGATTTACAGTGAGGACAAAAAGGAAGCATATGAAGAGTGCCAAAATGGCGAGGGAGGAAGGGCCATTATTTTATCAACACTTGTAACTGTGCCAGGCGCTAGAGCCTTAGACTGACTTCAGATCTTTGGCGGCTTCTCCTGTTTGCTGCCCTGTTTGCCTCTGCATCCGTACTGGCCCGTGATCTGATGCCCACAGCCTGGCCTCCCCCTGCCTTTGGGCCTAGGGGCTACACTCATTTCTGCCCCTTTTCTCCCTGGGCTGCCTTAGTTGGGCTGCTCCATCAAAGGCTCAACCCCTTAGAACTGGCCTTCTCTTTCAGTGCCCTCTCAAGGCTGCCCTGGCCTGACTTGCGTGCCCACTTTTGTTTTCCTATATTAAGGGTCAGAATAGTCTGGTGACATGTTAGTGTAGTTCTCCGCCACTGTTTACTTTCTTGTACTCAATGAACACTAAATGTCAAGATACCAGAAAATGGGAAAAATAAAGATAGTCTTCGACCACTTAAGATGATAACCTGCAAAGTACAGTTTCAAGTACGTAGTAAGAGGATAATCATCCCCTAACCTTCGAGGCTGGAAATGTAGCCCAAGGTCGGCTTTTGAGCTTGTGGGATTTGAAAAAGAACCCTATTATTTTTAAGACCACGGGTTTTGGAACAGGGATCGCTGGATTCATCTCTGGTTTTGCCACTTTCAGTGTGCGACATTGGACAAATTACTTGGAGCCTCGGTTTTTTGATGTGCAAAGTGGGATTAACAATACTACCCACGGTAGAGGACATCTAAAAGGATCAAATGAGCTGATATAGGACATTCAGCACCTGGCCTGCGCTAAGCATTAAAATAAAGAGTGGCTGTTGTTAACTAGACTGGAGCCACATTAAGGTTATTGATGAATGGTACAGTAGTATTTATCACAGTTGTGACTGGCTCTACCACTTGGTCCCCTGCATATATATTGAGTGTCTGTGACACTGCACCATTGGGAATACAAATATGAAACAAGACAAGAGCAGCAGAACGCAATAGCCCAAGCCCTAGAGGAGCAAAAGGATATAGAAGTGAGACACCCTCTGAGGGTAAGAACCAGGATAGCTCATCTCAGTACCCTCACATCCCTGCAATAGCACGTTGTGACTGTTCATTAAATTTCACTGAATTGGACCAGGGAATCCAGAGCTGGAATCTGAATTAGGTCCTGGCTCCCAGCCCAGGTTCCTTCCACTAGGCCAGTGTTCCTAAACTTTAGCTTGGATCAGGGTTTCCTGGAGGCTTATTGAAACACAACTGCTGGACCCAGACCCCTGAGTGTCTGATTCTGTAGGTCGGGGGTAGGACCTGAGAACTTGCGTTTCGAACAAGCTCCTGGGTGATGCTGATGCTGCCGTTCTGGGGACCGTGTTTGAGAACCACTGCTTTAAAGGCCACGAATATGAAGAAAACAATTTCCCTGGACATTTTCTATGTTGTTTTCACTGCTGATAGCCTAGAAAGAGTAGTATGGCTTATTATATAAAGGCTATTTCTTAATATAATGGTGACTCACTATTATAACTCTACTTATAGTGAAAACAAATTTTCTTTGGTCAGTAACCTGCCTGGGAGGGCAAATAAGTGGAGGTGGGGGAGAAGAATTGTATGGATGGTCTGCTAGGTTCCTGCACCACTAACTACTTCTGTCCCAAGTGGGGCCAGTTGAATTCTCCCTACCTTCTCTGCTCTGCAGGAAAAGGGGTTTGGGGGGGGGGGGGGCGGGGTGGGGGGCTCTGTGGGATCCATCAGCTGTTTCTCTCAATGCCATGTTGGGACATTATTTTGGGTTTCAGGATTGATAAATGGGGCTTTACCTAATCAGGAGGCCCAGGCCCGCTTTATATAAACTTGCCTTCTTGAACTCAATCCTTGGTGACCACCTCATTAGTCTGCTTTGGGGCCTCACTCTTGCTAGGTTGGCCATCCTGCCTGCGTCTTCCCTACTATCCTTGATGCCTGGATTCTGCATCTGCTGGACCCTCTCCCCTTGCCCCTGTGGAGCTTTCCCTGGCTCTGCAGTCTCCCACCCCTGCCTTCTGGTCTTCACCCCTCTCCCCACCCCCAGCCCAAGCTCCCTGTGACACCCAGAAACCATCAGGTCATATCAGATCATTTGAGACCACTTTCAGAGTAAATCCGATTTTATAAACTCTATTCCAAGTTTGAAATTGTGACTATAATCTCCTTCAACCAGCAGAAGTTTGTACGAGGCCGATTCTCTTACTATAAATGTATTTTCATTATCCAGGAGTGGAGTGGCAAAAACGCTCTTGACTTTCGAAGCAGTAGCCAAAATAAGGAGAAGAATATAAAAATGAATAAAAATAATGTTGGTATGTTACCATCTTTTCATCCACACTCATTGCCGCTACCAGTGTGGAAATGAATCCCAGGAGTGAGGAGGTCAGACTTCCAGATAAAGGTCCTTCGAGTGTCCCCTGAGGTGGGGCCTTGGTTAGTAAGGGCTTGCAGACCAGGGGTATGGGGACGTGGTGGCATCCAGGTGAGAAGGACTTACACGTGTGTGGCCTCTAGAATGCACCCCCAGCCTGGCAGGGGAGAGCAAAACTGACTGCAGACCCACCATTTTCATATTTGTTTAGCATCCAGAAAGAACTTTTTGATGCCAAGATGGAAAGAGCTGTGATCTAGATAAAGTAAGATTTTTAAGTCCTGAAAATGTCCTGAGGTTTACGGGCGAGTTCTCGTTTGATGAAAAGTTCATTCCCCAAGTTTCACATTCCACAAGTAATAGCCATTTAGGGAATGGGGTGTATACCACACAGCACATGCAGGGCACGGGTCTCCCTTCTCTCCAGCGTATTCGTAAAAAAGAACCAAATGCCTCCGATTTTTTTGTTGTTGTTGTTGTTACTTGTTTTTAAAATCCACTTGAACCTCACAGCTCACCTCAGATTTTAATCTAAGTCATTATTTAAGGCAGATGTTAATCTTTTCTTCTAAGTCATTATTTAAGGCAGATGTTAATCTTTTCTTTTGTTAACCACTTATGACCACCAAGCAGAACACGTGGCTTCAGGTTAGAGCCCAGCGAAGAATGAGCACGTAGATCTCTAATGAGTGAATTGGAAAGATGTTCTCTTTTTTTTTTTAATTTTTAAAAATTTATTTATTTAAATTCAAGTTAGTTAACGTACAGTGTAGTATTGGTTTCAGGAGTAGAGCCCAGGGATTCATCAGTTCCGTAGAACACCCAGTGCTCAGCCCAACAAGTGCCCCCCTTAATGCCAATCATCCATTTAGCCCTCCCTCCCCCCACCTCCACTCAGCAATCCTCAGAAGGATATTCTTGAGAACAAAACAGGCATGCAACAGCCAGGGTAGTGTGATGTCACTTCTTTTAAAATTATATGTCTATGGGGGCACCTGGGTGGCTCTGTGATTTAAGTGCCTGGCTGTTGGTTTCAGCTCAGGTCATGATCTCATGGTTTGTGAGATTGAGCCCCACGTCAGGCCTTGCGTTGGCAGTGAGGAGCCTGTTTGGGATCCTCTCTCTCTCTCTCTCTCTCTCTCTCTCTCTGCCCCTCCCCTGCTCGTGCATGCGTACTCTCTCTCTCTCAAATAAACATTTAAAAAGTTAAAAAAATAATAAACCTGTGTGTATATGACTATGTGTACGGAGAAAAGTCTGGAAGGGGTAATAGTGTTTTCTCTGGATGGTAAGATTTGAAAAGCATTTTACTCTTTTCTTTATACTTCTCTGTATACTTTGCATTCATTAAAGTAATGCCTGTTCAATCTAAACATCAGGGGAGAAAGTCCTTAAGTGAGATAAGATTAGGTAGGATTGGCTGAAAAGCCTTTGGTGCTCGGGCCTCTGCAGGGTCGTCTGCAGTTTCACTGACGCCTGAGAGCAGCCTGACCTCTGAAGGTTGACGTCTTCTCCTCCTGTTCCACGCCCTGGACCGTGGGCCCCTGACGCGCAGCGGGTGACAGCAGCAGGAATTCTGATGGTAGCAAATGGGATGCAGTAATTTCACATATGTTGGGATCTCAAATCTGATAGATAGAAGAGCTGTCCTAAGCGACCCAAGGAAAATAAAACCACTATCCATAGCTGATGTCTGTCATTTCCTATGTGGCAAGCAGTCTGCTAAGCGCTCTGCAAAGTGCAAGTTCAGTCTCCGTAAAACCCTATAAAAGAGGAAGTCATTTTCTTTAAATTGAAGTATAGTTGACATGCAATATTATATTAGTTTCAGGGGCACAACCTGGTGATTTGAACTTGTATACATTATGCGGTACTCACCATGGTAAATGGAGTTATCGTCTGGCACTTATATTCCCTATGCCGAACTTTATATACCTGTGACTTATTTATTCTATAGTTGGAAGTTTGAACCTCTTAATCCCCTTCACAGATTTCGTCCCTGCCCCCACCCCTTCCCTCTGGCAACCACTGGTTTGTTCCCTTTGTTTGGAGTCTATTTTTGTTTTGTTTGTTCACTTGTTTTGTTTTTAGATTATATATATAAGCGTAATCATACAATATCTGTCTTTCCTGCTTGACTTATTTCACTTTGAGTTGGCATAATGTCCAATGGCCTCTCTGTCCATCCATATTGTCACAAAGGGCAAGATTTCATTCTTTTTTATGGCTGAGTAATATTCCAGTGTGTGTGTGTGTGTGTGTGTGTGTGTGTGTGTGTGTACCCACATATATATTATGTTTACCCATTTATCTATATATGGACACAGGTTGCTTCCATATCCCGGCTATTATAAACAATGCTGAAATAAACATAGGGGTACATATATCCCTTTGAATTAATGCTTTTGTTTTCTTTGGATAAATACCCAGAACTGGA